ACCGTCTTGACGGGACTTGCCGGCCCCCTAACGCCCGTCTTCGCCGACAGCTGACGCAATTCAAGCTCAACAACCACGTCCTGTACCGTCATATCTACCACCCTGATAGTCAACGCTGGGTGCCCGTTCTACCTCGCTCTCTTCGGGCTCAAGTCCTCAAAACATATCACGACGACATGTTTCTGGACACATGGGCTTCCAGAAAACGTATGACCGCATAAGATGTCACTACTACTGGCCGGGCTTGTCCACCTGTGTCGCGAAGTACGTTGCCTCATGCGCCCTTTGTCAGCGTCGCAAGCTACCTACATCAACTCGAAGTGGACAATTACAACCGCTCCCGTGTCCCCTGCAACCATTCGAGGTAGTTGGCATTGACCTGTATGGTCCGCTTCCTATGACTCTCACGGGCAATCGTTGGATAGTTACAGCTGTCGACCACCTGACCCGCTACGCCGAAACAGCTCCCGTGCCTTCTGCATCAGCTTCGGAAGTCGCCGACTTCATCCTTCGAGCAATAATCCTTCGACACGGAGCTCCTCGTGTAATCCTGAGCGACCGTGGAAGAGTATTTCTTTCAGCACTCGTCGAAGAAGTGCTCAAGGCAGCCGGCACTACACACAAAACAAGCTCCAGTTACCATCCTCAGACGAACGGCCTGACTGAGCGCTTCCATCGTACACTGTCAGACATGATTGCGATGTATATCGAACCCGACCACAGAAACTGGGACACCATTTTGCCATTTGTCACTTTTGCGTATAATACCTCTGTACAGCGCACAACCGGTTACTCGCCGTTCTACCTCGTCCACGGTCGCTTCCCCTCTTCTTTCCTCGATGTTTCGTTCTTCTCTGCGCCTGTCAAACCATGTTCATCTTCAAGTGAAGAATACGTGTCTCGTCTACTTCATTGCCGCCAGCTGGCTCGCGTCAACACTGAAGCCAAGCAACAGGATCGCAAGCTTGAATATGATGCCTCCCATCGTGCCGTGTCTTTCAGCCCTGGCGACGAAGTCCTCCTTCTTACACCCATTCGCACTCCCGGACTGTGCGAGAAGTTTCAATTACGTTTTATTGGCCCCTAAACTGTCTTGGAGCAAACGTCACCTGTGAATTATCGCGTGGCACCCGTTCTTCTTCCGACGGACCGCCGCTACAGGGCAGCAGAAATAGTCCACGTATCCCGCATGAAGCCTTTCATACGGCGTTCATCTTCGCTTCAAAATGCGGCCAAGAACTGCGGTCAGGATGACCGCTTTCACGTGGGGGGGGGGGGAAGTTAGTGTAGGCATTCATTAAGCACATCATCTATCTTTACACATATTCATCATCATGAGTGGTCGTCATCTTCTTCTGCTGTGGGGACTTGGCTTGTCTGAGTTCTGTGCCTTGGGCGTGGTCGCTTCATCGTGTCTTCCGGGCCTAATAAAGGTTGCCTTTACTGTTACATCACAATATATATATATATATGGGATACGGCACAACGGGAGCGTTGTCAACAGGGATAAATATATTTATTTCCGAACAGTTTCGGGAGGGGTCCTTCCTTCATTCCCTTATGAAGGGAGGACCCCTCCCGAAACTGTTCGGAAATAAATATATTTATCCTTGTTGACAACGCTCCCGTTGTGCCATATCCCATACCTTCACGAAGACTAAATTGGCCCATTGAATTATTACTCCCAATATATATATATATATATATATATATATATACACTAGGAGATCGCAAAGAAAACAGGGAGACGCGAACCTTGATCCGTCTCATGTAATCAAACAAGCGACTTCTCTATTCTCAGCTTGGGGTGCTAACCACTGCATCACAAAGCGTACCTTTCCTGGAACACTAACCACAACATACACCGCTTCGTAGTCCCCAGAGCTCCGAAACGTTAGCGCGTTTTCGTGATTAGTGGCAGTATGGGGCGATGGGCTCGTGTCGGTCGCGTTCTAAAGGTTGTCCACGTCACGAAGCGAAGCCACCACGGAGCGTAGTGTCTCCTGCGCGCACTCTATTCAGACTCGTGATTCGGGAGAAGACGAGGGTCACTTCGCACAGCCGTATTTACAAAAGAATCATGCTGCTGGCACACAACGGTGGAAGAATTGCGACAGTTCGCGATTGTTCCTTTGTACACTTGTGCGCTAGCTTTGTGCCTATTTCTTTCTGTTTGAACAGCGTGCTGAAAGTGTCGACCTGTGGCAGTTCCTAGTCCGCTCTCGTCCTGTGTATGCTAATTTCATGGTTACTTCCTGCTTGAGGGCTGCGCAGCAAGTTTCAAGCTTTTTGCGATTCTACCATGACTTTGCAAATTTTTACTTTTTAAATGCGCAAGAAACTCTCAACTATACCTTCATAAATACATGTTTCCCTTTCGTGTTTTACCTTTTTCTATACACTATGAGGCAAAAATACCCGAAAAAGAAGGAACGGAGCCCAATAGGCGCTCGCGATGAACAAATAGGCCGTTGAGGAGCAACCACAGAGGGAAGCGTGGGCGCGAAACCAGTTAGTCTCCACTAGAATAAACCGCCGGGCATAGCAGGCAGCGCGAAAAGCGTTGCCAAGGTGACCACACCTCCTTCTCCACAGAACACATGTCCTTCTCCTCCTCTGCTGGCTCTGTCTTTCCCCGTATTTTGCCGACTGGCGGTCGCGTAGCGTCGCGCTCGGAATGCTCGACCACGGCCGCCTGGATTCGACAATCTAAGAATTACGACGTGGTGCTTGTGTGTACGCCTGGATGAGCGTGGACTGCTGCTTTAGCGTTTCGCTGCACCCACGGAGTCTGGAGCAAGCCTCGACAGGTCACCACGCCACGCTGTATATCTCTGGCTTCAAGATAGGCACGACCAACACTCGACAGCAACAGTTGCGAAGGCCAATATGGCGGCCGAGAAGAACAGGCCTATCGGATATATACTTCAGTCCGACTCAGGGCAGAAAACAGCGCTGGATTCTAAGGCAAGTAGGTTATCATTCTTTTTTCTACTCTACTTGTCGCGAGTGCGATACGGATCGCGCTTGCCGGCAACGGGCGCAGTCGTGTTGTATATAGCACGTACGAAATGCATCGCCAAGGTCAGCTTTGGCGTCTTCAGTTCACCTGTGCTTTGCAACCACCTGGAAATTGGCCGCCATTGCCGTCGGCCTGCCGTACGCTCGCTCATCGAGTGCTCGCCTGTCTTCACCACCACGATGAGCTCCGTGCTGACGATATTGGGCTGAGAGTTCGTCACTGTGTTGGGAGTCGTCGAAAACACGTTGCGGTTTCTCGTAAAGAGCTTGGTTGTAGTGTGTCGCGCGCTGTATGTGCACCAGCACGTGCTGGCGGGGCTTTCGCTAACGTCGGAACTTACTGAAAATTGGTCGCCGTTACAGTTGGCTTTCCCTCCAGTCGGTTGCAACCAGCTCGGAGCTGTCCGCTGGCCGCGGCGGCGGCCTCGCGTTTGCGCGCTGCACTCGCTCGAGTTTGTGGAAAAGGGCCGCATTACCGTCGATTTCTTCGGCGCTAGCTCCGAAACAGCTCGGAGCTATTCGTGGCGGCGGCCAAGCGTATGCTCGGTCTCCCGTTGGAAGTTCGCTGGCGGCAGACACTCCACGTTCAGTGCCGTGTTTGGTCTCGCGTTCGCTTGCTCGAGCTGAACGACGTCGCTCGCTTAGGACTCGCCGACTTGTTAGCGGCACGGTTGTTCGCGGAGTTGTGACTGCGGCCGCCGCTCCTAAGCTGTTGCGCTATGGGGAACGAAATGAGCTTTTGACGACGTGTGACATCACGGTGAAATTATTAGCATGTCATATCTCACATGTGTTTTCATTTCAACTTGCACGTATTTCTCATATGCAGTTGTATTCATCCTCTGTCACGTGTGACTCACTATTTTACATACTTATTGTGCAGCCGTGGGCACACACCGTGCTGAAGACAAGACTGTGTGCTGACGTCTGCGATGCCCGTCATCCATCTCTTTCGTCAGGGCAGCTTCAGAAGGACTGTGCGAGATGTGAGGATAAAGTTATTTGTGTGTCATATTTTAACGCTTGTTTTTATAATAACGTTCACGTACTTGTCATATGCGTGCATCTTCATCTTCTGTGACGTGTGCCGAACCATTTTTTCTATATTATTGTACGTGCAGCCGTGCGAACCCAACAGGCAGGAGGCTGCATGCGCTGGCGTCTACACTGCCTGTCATCTTTCGCTTCCGTCGGAGGAGCTCCCCAAGGAGTGAACAAGATTTGACAATGAGACCGCACTTGTACACTTCACCCTGAATTCACTTAAAATAATGGGGAAACTTCATGTGTATGTAGAAAAATAAAAGATTTCAATGTCGCGCTTCTGTGTTTTGTTGTTGCCGTGACTGTGAAAGCAGTTACACATAGGTGGCTAACTATTTTTCGCGTGTTCTTTTCTTCGGAATTTGTTGCTCACTGCACAGAAAAGCAGGCGAAAAAGTATTAGGCCTGGCGGAAAATAAACAAAAAACAATGTTTGAACTGGAGACAAAACGTTCATCCCATTGAAGTATTTGAGTGGATCAACCGTTTGTCCGGCAAGGTGCAACTGTGAGGACTAACGGCTGCCCGGTAAAGTGTAAATGTGGGGATCAACAGTTGCTCTATAAGGTGCAAATGTGAGGACTAAATTTTAGTCCTTTGGGATGAACTGTGGGACTAACGGTTACTCACTAAGGTGAAAATGTGTGGACTAAATGTTAGTCCCTTGAGGAGACTAAGCTGATAGGCCCGGTGCCGTTAGTACTTAAAGGGAATTAATGGTTGTGGCAGCCCCATTAGTCCCCAAAAGGACGAACCACACACCCTTTTGACACCCTTTTGCCTTTGAGTGTATAGAGGGTCAGCCACAATTTTTCAAGTGCACATACTACACTGTCATGTTACAAGTCACACAAATATTTATCAGGCCATGATACAAGACTTCTCTAGCATTCATATGGTTCATCATATGCGAGTGGTAGAAGCTAGCCTCTTACCTGCTGCGATGACAAGCACATGAACCTCATCACACATCCGCTCAGCTTTCCATTATCGGATCGCAGTGGGCTGCAGGCCGCGACAAAGGACCGGCTCGGCTTCATGCCTGCGAAATAACTTTCAGTAAGTTGGAGAAGTGGGCCAGTTGGAACCAATGATTGCTGTCAAAACGTCGGCACGAACAAGACAAAGCACAAGACGAAGAACAAGATGGAGCACAAGTCTGCTGTATTGCAAGGTACGCAAGGTCAACTATTTATTTGACGCCAGCTAACTTTCTGTGCGCCCACGTGTTGGTTTTTGTTACATTAACTTTTAGCATCAATTGACTTTATTTGTCAGACGGCTTTCATATAATGTCTTCCTCTTCTTATGTCTCACTCTGTTCTCACTCATTTTTTACAACATGCTGGGAAATAAGTACGCCTATTGTATCGTAGCTGACGTTCATTGCGGCATAAAGTGTTTGGAAATAAGTAAAATACTACCGAATGTGCTTCTAAAAAGCATGAGACAATCCTTTTACTTTATAAGATAGAGAGTCAGCCACCTTCGCGAAGGTTCCCTGCACGATGGGTATGTGTCTTTTACACATTCCGAAATTTCTGGTTAACCTCCCTGCCTTCTCCCTTTTTGTTGCTTCCTCCTCCAAAAATACATAGTAAGGGATGCAAGCAGCTGTAGAACTGTTTCATATAAAAAGAAAACTGAACGTTAGTTCAACAAACTCAGCCAATGTCTGCAGATATCCCAACTGTCTTGCCTTTCGATAGAAAGGGTGCTACAATACTAACATGAAGGCTTAGATGGCTTAATGCTGTGGTTCACTGTATGCTTGGAAGTCGGATCCTTAACATCACGAAGTTTTCATCTCTTGAAGTTCCAATTCTTTATTCATCTATTCTTTATCTTAAAACAACTGGACATCCACAAAATATTTAAGGTGAGCGATGCAGCAACTTTCCATTTGTAGAAAAATATTTAGAAGGCACAGAGACGCGGCTAGTTGTCTGCGGTGAGTGTGTCCACTCAGAGTGTGGAATACGTTTTTTAATGCGTTTTTAATGCGTTTTTTAAGAATAAAAGTGTTCCGCATTCGCCGTAGTGACTACAGCTGGCGCTGACCGAGGTTACCACGTATAAATGAACGTATAAACCCTACAACGTGGATTGAAAAATGATCACCGGGTAAGCTTAGTGGTAGAGCAGCGGCCACGTTACTCGAAGGCCACAGGTTTGTTCACTGCCGGCGCCAAGTTATCTTTTTGTGAAATTTTCATACTTGGCATTTATATAATAATTAATAATTACTTGAATAATTCTCCCCTCTAATTTTTGGTGTCATTGTTCTCATTATTATTGCTTCTAGCAAAAAAAGACGAGCCACTAAACTCGCAAGCCTTTCTTTCAGACTCCTGCTGGAGTCTTGCGAGTTTAATTAGCGCAAGCCTACATCATGAGAAAAAGATACGGCATAAAAATTACCACAACAAAACATAAGAATGCAAACGCCGGATTTCTCGTTTCCACGCCTTCTGTCATGACTCAGCTTTCTGTCGTTTGTGTACGGCTTTGCGACGACTGGCTACTTGCAATTGTAGAGAGGAAGAAGATTTATTTTTGTTATATATAAATGACCTACCAAACCGCGTTACGGTCCCGATAAGGTTGTTTGCCGATGACTGTGTTGTTTATAGTAGAATCGAGACTGAACATGACCAAGTTAATCTAAACAACAATCTTCAAAGAATAAAGGATTGGTGCGAAGAATGGCAAATGAGTTTGAACACAGAAAAAACAGTCTTTATGACTATAACTAGAAAGAAAGCACCTCTAGATTACAACTACCAGATTGGCAATGCTTTCCTCAAGCGTGTACAAAACTATAAATATCTTGGGTTATGGTTCACGCCCGACCTCCGGTGGAACACTCATATTGATAATGTATGCTCCAGGGCTACCAAGGCATTGTATAGCCTTAGACGTAACCTTTATACCGCCCCATCTGATATAAAGTGTCTTGCTTACAAAACTCTTGTCAGACCCATTATCGAATATTCTAAAATTGTCTGGGACCCTTACACAAAGACAAACTGCAATAAAATAACAAAATACAGCGACTTGGTGCGAGATTTATTTTTAATAAATATAGCCGACATCATTCTCCTACTGAACTCTGTAAAAAAGCTGGACTGGATAGTCCTGAACTTAGGACGAGGATTGAGCGTCTGAAATTCCTCTTCCAGTTAATTCATAATCAATTTAAACTAAACTATTCAGATTACTTCCAGGTCAACACACAAGAACACTCCAGACATCGCCATAATATGTATATACCACCCCTAGTCCCACGTAACGATTGCTTTAAGTTCAGTTACTTTCCACGTGCTATTGAAGATTGGAATATGCTGCCAGAGTCTATAATTGGTTGCTCCTCGCTTACATCATTTGAACAGAATCTAAAACGTTTATTTTCCGAATAACAGTGACATATGTTTTTTTTGCGTGTGTGTGTACTTTTTGTTGGTTGCATGATCCTGCAGTAGTTGTCTTTCAAATCTTCAGCGCGGTACAAAAGTGCCGCCTCAAATGCGTCATGTGCTGTTCTGCGCGTATGTATTGCATCGTATGTGTGTTCCATTTATGTATGTTATGTATAACTTCGAGTTGCTGGTCACAATAGTACCGAGAAATTATCTCGAGACCTGTACGGTACTTCTTTTTTGCAAATAATTGTTTGTACTTCCACCCTGTAACGGCCCACTTCTGGGGCTAACAGTATAAATAAATGAAATGAAATGAAATGATTATGTGCTGCAGTGGGTCATGCCTTTAGCGAGAGGAGCCGAGCGCGAGCTGTTTCCCCGAGGGCTGTGATTCCTGCGTTGGTTGCTGCCGCCCGTTTGCCGCATCAATAGACCAACTGTGCAAGTACTACGTACGCCCCAATAAACCCCATTTCAGAGTGGTGGAGATGCGGGGTAACTCAATCTGGAACTCCGCAACAGGAAACTACCTGCCATCCCAGAAATGGCTGGAGAAAACACCCAGCAAGGTACGACCCAGCCTCCGATGGTCATTGTGCCCACTGCGCTACGCGTGCGCGATCCACCTTTTTTCGATGGTACCGATGAACAAGACGTAGAACATTGGCTGTCGACATTTGAAAAAGTAGGCGCAAGCAACAAGTGGGGCTACCCTTCGAAGCTGCAATATGTACCCTTCTACCTGAAAGAGGTAGCTAGTCTCTGGTTTAACAACCACCACTCGGAATTCGCCACTTGGGGTGCCTTTAAGCTACGCATTACTGATGTGTTCGGTCGCCCCAAGGTGCGCAAGCTTCATGCTGAACAGCGCCTACGGGGACGCGCAGAGCTTCAGGGGGAAGGCTTTACAAGCTACATCGAGGATGTGCTCGACTAGTGCAGGCGCCTAAACCCTTCAATGATCGAAGCAGACAAGAAAAAACACGTTTTGAAGGGGATAGATGACGGCGCCTTCCAGATTCTGCTGGCCAAGGGCCCACGTACGGTGTCCGAACTCGCCACTCTTTGCCAGAGCTTCAAGGAGTTGCGCAAACAATGGGTCTTGACACAGCGGCCAGCGCCTACCAATGAAACTCTCGCGGCATTGACCCTGGGTGGAGACCACAGCACAATCATGTCGGAAATCAAACGATATGTGCGCGAGAAGGTCGCCCGACAACTTTCGTGCCTGTCGTATCTACCAGCAACGAAACCCTCTTCTGAGTGTCTCGCGCCCGCCATCACGCTGGTAATACAGGCGCAGGTGTCTGAGGCACTACCATCCGTCTCTCAGACAGCACCCTTCACCGCGCCATTGACTTACGCTGCTGCTACTGCTACTCCACCACGACATTCGCTTGGGCCGACTACCCAGCCTGTACAAGTACCAACGACGCCATTTCCAGCAACACAACTACGCTATACCGGAAACCTTTGGCGCACAGTGGACAATCGCCCGATCTGTTACGCATGCGTATATCCAGGTCATGTGGCGCGCATCTGTTGCCGGCGCTTCGCAATGGGTCCGGCTGCAGCTCCGAGATACTCTGACTACTATTTACCGGCCCCGTAGAATGCGAAACGAGAACTGCCACGTCAATGCGACCGACAATCAGAGGACCGCGACCCGTCACCAACCGAACTAGACCACCACCCTGCTGCCGACTACCGACCATTCGGTCCCCGTCGCTAATCCTCACCACGCCGCTACCGTTCTCCGTCCCTTCTGCGTCACCGACCGAACCCCGTATAGACAGAAAACTGACTGCCGCAGCTCCAGAGGCACGAGCTGCGAAATCGTCCCATTGTGCAAGTCCTCGCCCGTCCCCCACAAACGTTCTGGAAGTGTTTGTTGAAGGTCCACGAACTCTTGCACTTGACACGGGTGCCGCCGTATCTGTGATGAGTCAAAAACTCTGCCGTTCGATACGACAAGTGACGACGACGCCTTCCGACGTTTTGGAGAATACCGTGAGTGCGCAACCGATTCGACCAGTCGGAGCATGTACGGCGAGAGTAATCATTCAGGACGTCCTGCATCACATCGAGTTTCTCATATTGACCACTCGTTCCCACGACGTGATACTTGGATGGGATTTTTGTCAAGCCACCACGCCGTAATTGACTGCACTCGCGCGCAGGTGGAACTTTCCGTGTTTTCAGATGTGCCATCTAGTGACAATAAGCACACTCCCCTTGACAAGCTTCTTATTGCTTCCGACGTTGATGTTCTTCCTCTTAATGCCATCATTATTCCCGTCAATCGCACTGAATCGTCTGGCTCTACCGTTGTGTTCTCCCCATCTGACGTTTTTAGTCACCGCCACGGTACGTCTCTGCCATACGCCATTCTGCCACCTCATCAAGATACTTCCGGAGTTGTCGTTTGCAATCCTAGCTTATGCCCTCTCACCTTAAGAGCTCACGAAACACTGGGCAACATCCTGGTCAGGATCGACGGTTCATCCGAAATCATGGAGCCAGCGCTTCAAGAAGTGCACTTTTCTTCGAGGTAGCCGCAGCATTCCTCAGTGGTGCGTTTAGCATTTTATCTTCACCAGAAGCCTCCGATTGCCCCTGAGCATCTTTGTCGTTTGAATCACAGCACGGTTGTATCATAAGCAGGATTATCCCAAGTAGAAATCATTACAACCTGCATGAATGATCCGACTGTTCCTTTCGCGATGCAGCAAACTGCGCATCAGCTTTACAAAATGAATAATGCATTCATATCCGTCATAAGTAATCACAATCTATCCGCAACGATGCTTGAAAGAAAGAATGTGTATTAATTTATAACAGAAAGAGGGAAACCTTTTTTTTCACAAAACGGGATTTTCGTGGTGCCTGTACAACTTTGGAATGAGTATACACTGTCCAGGTACGGGAAACTAATAACAATGCGCACTGTTCGCAATTATTAGAGAAATAAATGGCAAAGCTTTCCCTCCGGTACGATGCAAACATATCAATGCATGTGACACTGCGAATATGTGAAACGCTGTTCTTGACTGAGCTTGTGAAAGGGCTATGTCGAAGAGTCATTTCGCTGCTCTGCACTGCGGCGGCTACTTTACCAACAAGTTGTATTGTGTCTACACGGAAGCTGCAAATCGTGCCTAAATAATCACATAGATTACGTTTTTTTATGCGAAGCTTCTTATGGTGGTGATCAATCCGCTGTGCGGCGTGACCATTCCTTCCCCTCCTCTCTTTCTCCTCTCCTATGCTCCTCTCTCACCTTGCTACGCCGACGCAGCAGCGTCTGCCAGTCAGTTCAGTTTCAGTTAATTTATTTCGGACATAGTTACATGACACGAAATATGTCCACGAGGCAAGGCAAAAGGAGACTCGTATGTCTCCTGACGAGGCCTTCACCCCGGACTTACACGTCGGACAGTCAGGAGCAAAATCAGAGAAAATATGTACAATGCTCATTGCACAACTTATATAAACAAAAAACGAACAGTAAAAAACACATTCGGACAAAACTTACACAAAGCCTACATTGTTCACGTTTAACAGCTTTATAAAGTTACATAAACATACAAAATTACATATTTTCGTGTTGAAAGAAAAATATGTCTAATTTCAAGGAGGCAGGAAAAGTAGCTTTACTTGTTTTTTAAAATGAGACATACTTGAGTTCTGATTAGCCAATTCGATTAGGGATGGGTATGCATTTGGGTGGGTACGCTCGCTTCCCCCTCTTTCCTATATGCATCCCTCGCCGCGGCGTTTACCACTATTTCCGATGCGTGCTCCCTCCCCTCTTCTTCTACGCTCCTCCCCGATCTCTCGCCTCCCAGAACAGACACACGCAGTGTTTACGAACAAGTTTCTTGATTTAAAACACCGATTGCTCTCACAGCAGAACCATTCAGTGGCGACCCTGTATATATAGGCACTGAATCTTGACATCCAAGGCAGCACCAGCGGAAGATTTCTCCTGTGCGTAATTGAACAATGAAAGTTTGCAGCGTGCGCGTCAACTAAAAGCAGACTGTGGGTCTCGGTGTCGAATTGGAGTTATCTTTCTCTCATTGCCCATTAGCAGCACTTGGCATGTTCAAGTAGAAAATACCGGTCTATGACTGCGTGCTGTGCACCTTCTCAAGTTTCCTTCCTGTGCAACGCCGCCCCGAGTGTATATGTTAACGCCCTCAACTCCGTATCTGCACATGGTTCCGTTTAGCAGAAGATGGTGTTTTTTTTTTCCTCAATGTTCTTGCGTGAAAATGCATACCTATATATTAGAAAGACCTTTAGTTTTGTATTTCCGCAAGTTCTTGACATAGAAAATGAGCGTTGTGCAATACCATAGGCGCAATAACACCAATGTAACTGTCATTCACGGATCCCATCAACTTCCTCATTGCCCTATACAAGTACAGTTTCTTTAGATTATAGCGCCGTACCAAGAGAGCATTACCGTATGCAGTGTATAAAGCACTCTTCAGTTTCATGAACCTTAAGCACGTGTGCTCTCACCGTACTGCTCTCGGCTCTCGAGTCGGCTACAGATGCTGGCCACCAGTGGTGCCACGTAGGGACCCAGCAGCAAGCACACACCTGTGACATCATAAACCCCCATGGACTGCTGAATAGACAGGCCCGCGATGGAAGCCATGTCGACGGCTTCACGAAGAACCAGCTCTTTCTCCACGTAGACATTGATCGTCGATGCCAACCTTCAAAAGACGCAGCAGCACACCTACTTACCAGGCATCTCGTGTCAAATGCATCTTAAACAAGCCATTAATATTATATATGACATTTTAAGTTTCCAAATCACCACAGTTATATGACGCAGCAAGCACTTCGCAATAGAGTATTATTTGACTATCTGTAGTATATACCCGATCATGCAGGTTACCGCTGCTTATTATAGCCTCACAGTTAGAATATCTTACACTCTCCACCCACCGCGACGCACACCGCGACAAGGATCTGCTGACGCCGGCCGCTTCCCAGTGACGGTCTTGGCGCCGGGACACAGCATGATGGCCAAAAACATGATTCTTTTAAAGGCCTTGAAGGTGGTTTCAAATGGGAAAATTGCTTAAAAACATGGATAATTCCTCCGTCATAAATGTTGGTAAAACACTAAAGTGAAATGTTTTTTCTTTGAGGTAGTTGGATGTTTATGGTGCGTTCATAAATGACAGCTAGTACAATATGTCGATTCGTGTTTCGCCATGTAGCACCGCTTGATGTGGACCCATCCAACGCCCAGTGGTGCATCTCCATCCCGTTGACAAGCAACCATGATAGTAAATTAACCATTGCAGTTGCTGGAGTTGTGAACATATCTAGACACCACACATGTCAAATCCTGTGCAAATATGACAGAAACGGGTGCATAAAAAGCATCGTGAAATGCAAAGAAAAGCACCACGTGCTCTTTGTGTTCTTTCTTGTCCCGGCCGTGACTTTACGGCGAAAGCTGTTATGAGATTACTTTTTTGGTCACGCGCAGTTGCATGTTGTCCGCCGCTGCAGCCACCGCAGCCGGTGTCCGTCACCGCATGGCACAAAATTTGAAAAAAAAAACTTGCAGCAATGGCACAGCGAGGTTCGATGCCGGGTCCCCTGGGTGCTAGCCCAGTATTCCACTACTGAGCTACACTGGTGCTTTTGACTTGTTGTCAAACTTGCCATGGGAAGGCTTGAAGTCGGGAAAGCAATCGTGCTAAAAGGATTTATAAAGTGTTATAAAACATCGAATCAACCAGTCGTCACACAATGCGATTAGCACAACGCGTGGCCCGTCCCTTGCTCCAACCCGTTACAAAAGCTTCTTGTTTCTCTATTAACTGAGGCGCATGCCCACTACAGCCATATTTAAATCTTCATCGTCGTCAGCCATTGTATGGACAATTGGCACAAGATTCCTTGCAAGAGTTTGGTGGATACCACACTCCACAGAAAAAGGACAAAGTATAGCTTAGCGAATGCCGCCTACTACCCAGAAGTTTATTAATAATTCCCTAGTAGGTACCAAGCAAGTGTGCTTGCAGTAGTTACCAAAAAAATGTTTTGAAAAGGCTCTGAAAGGCTGCTCTTCTAGCTTTCGCTGTGACTGTGCTGCGTCTACCGCACAGGCCTGTCACTTTGAGGAGCGAAGCTCCTTAAAGCGGCACCCGTTTGTCCCTCGTCGTAGTACGTAACATGTCTTACGCTTTGACCTGAGAGATGGTGCCGGTGGGTGATTTCTCCTGTGCGTTTTTGAACAATGAAAAATTCGCAGCGTGCGCGTTAACTAAAGGCCCAATTCTCCTGTTTCTTCTTCCCCACTAGCAGTCATTGGCATATACATTTAGCACTACCTGACCAGAAAGGATTGCAATGTTATACTCGCTGGGCGTAACCTCCTTGGTTTTAGAAAGGTTTAGCGAGCGTTCGGCCGCAGTGCCATGAATACAGTGAAGTAGTATATACCATGAACTCGAGGTGGTTAAAGGTAGGAAGTAGACACGAAGCGCAAGCCGTAAGAAAGTGTGCTTGTGTCACCTCACGTTTAGTCCTTGGAATGTGCACTGGATGGCAGTGCATACGCGGAATATATGCTGAAAAGATGCGAGATGATGGTACTTGGAGTGTTCAATAGATGGACAAACGGACACTCAGACAGATGCATGGACGGCCTCACGGATGGCTGCACCGATGGATGGATGCATGGACGGACGCAGGGGCGGATGCATGGACGAACGCAGGGACGGACGCACAGATGAACGTGCGGACGCACGAACAGACGCACGCACGGACGGCCGAATGGACGCACGGACGGTCACACAGATGGACGCATGGATGAACGGAAGCAAGAATGAATGGACGGATGGATGCTTCACCCCACTCCCCATCAATCACACCGTGGATATGCTGCCATCTTTTCAATTATTGCATTCTTTTAAGAACGATCATACGGAACACACTCGACAGTCAGGATAGCATCGGAGAGCTATATTTTATTATAGATGAATATAATAGGCGAGCCTTTGGCTAAAGTCACCTCTTTGCAGTGTGTGAAAACAATGAAACAATTCGATTTTGTTCAAACGCGCTGAATGAACCGGTAGTAACTAAGCCAAGAAAGACTAGGTTGTTACCTGTCAGCGATGTAACCGCCTGTCCTCCCTAATCAGGCTTTTTAAAGAGGATTGTTTTGTTTACAGACAAATGAATAACGTTTTTGATGGGAATGCGCTGCAGTCTCACAATAACCGAATTACCCGCTGGTGCTAGCTATCGCAAATAGAAATTGCAGTCTCAGAAACGAAGTACATTGAATAGCAAGAACTAAAACTCGATCTATATTCTCGCATGATTAACAATATTTTTGTCGAATATATATCTACAATAAAATTGGGCAGGTCCCATGTCTTGGGAATTCATGTTATACAAAGCATGCCCATGGAAGGTGACTGTGCTGCAATTTTAGAGGCGAAGTTCCTCTTAGTCTTACCTCGTCCCAGCATCACGCGTACCCGAGGCAAGAATAGACGAGAAAAAAAGAAGGCAGTATCTCTCGAAAAGTATATTTATATGGCACTGTCCCACAGAAGTACATACAAACTGCAGTTGAGTGAGGATATTCGCGATGGTGCTGTACCACTACTCTCCAATTGGCTGCTGCGCACGCTTTGCCTGAGTGCGCGGGGAACGATCGCCTTCCTTATTCTCTGGATTGTCGCCGTACGTGGCGGATCTTTTTTTTATTGAAATAGAAAATAAATGAAGTAGTTTTCGTCACCGTTACTTGGTGACAACTACCCCTTTGTACTAGATTGGTACAAATAAAGAAAAAAATCAATAGCATCATTGGTGGCGCAAGGACCAAGCAGAGCGGCGGGCGCGTTCAAGACGCTTGCGCTCGGCTTTTTTGGCTCGCGTCTTCTTGGTGTTACCCGCGCACCACCTGCATTCTCTAATGCAATGAGACGGATGGAGGCATGCACGGGTGAAAGAGCACACGGACGGACGGACGGATGGACGCTTCACCCCACTGATCATCATTCACTCTGTGAGCACACTGTTATATTTTATGTTACGCGAACGCCACAAAGTGGCCTTTAACCTATACGAATAAGCGCACGCAAAGACACGTTCAACACCCGCTTATATTTCATATAACCAGATGTATGCAGGTGCGCAACGGTACCAACAAGATGATGGATAATACAAACACCAGAAACTGTAAGTCTATATGAAGCGCTGATGCTCGTGAGGACGGTAGTCCTGGACACTGCTACATAAATTAACTTGTGAGAAGTGCACCTAACCACAATCGACGGTAACCCGACGTTAGCGCTGCTTCACACAAGTAAATATGTAATGTTTAGAAATTCTGATAGTCGGGACTCCTACCAGAATCGACGTTTCACAAACAACACGGACTATTAACAAGATAGCCTCGAAGAGCCTGTTTCACAGAAATTCTGGCGTTGGTGTTGTTGGTTCTGAGGAAAAATTCATCTTCTGCATGAGGAAAAAATTAACAAATATGCAAATAGAATAAATAATAATAATCTAGGTTCCAACCAAGGTTGTTTGTGTGCCAAGCAAGTGTTCTACCAAAGAGTAACACGTCTGAATGGAAGCGAAGTGAAAATAACTTCCTCCGCTTGGAGATACTTTGAAAGCACCTTTCACTGCTTTCCTCACCATCATCAACAGCCTGACTACGTTCACTGCAGGACAAAGGCTTCTCGCATGTTGCACCAGCCAACTCAATCCTGTGAGTGCAGCTGCCACTTGATACCTGCAAACTTCATAATCTCACCTGCCCACCTAACTCTCTGTCCCCCTCTAGCTAGCTTGCCTTCTCTGGGAATCCAGTCAGTTACCCTTAATAACGAGCGGTTATCTTGCCTTCAACTTCAACTTCATTTATTTGTGTGGTTTACCATCCCAAACCACCATATGATTATGAGAGACGCCGTAGTGGAGGGCTCCGGAAATTTCGACCACCTGGGGTTCTTTAACGTGCACCCAAATCTGCGCACACGGGCCTACAACATTTCCGCCTCCATCGGAAATGCAGCCGCCGCAGCCGGGATTCGATCCCGCTACCTGCAGTACTTAAAATTCAACTTTGAACATTATTTCGGACAACCACAAATAATGTGTACATTTGCCCTGTCTAGGAGGTGTGACAAAAAGGCACGAGTGTCTGACTGAGTGTCACTCCTAATTCTAGACTCACGTAACTAAAATATCAGTGACAGTTAGATAATCGAAAATTCATACTAAAGAATACATATATTACACATCTTTAGGCAAAACATATACTGGTTTCTAGAGATATATACATTGTTCTATATACACATAAACAAAGATTTCATAGTATATGTACAGTATAGACTGCAGCAAGGTAAAACACGGAATTACTCTTGATGAGGTATGAGGTTAACTTTTTTAAGCATTTCATGTGCATTGTTTTCTGTACCAAGTTTATTACGGTAGGATGATGATTTAGAAATCTGCTATAGCGTAAGATTGTTTTTGTATACCATAGTTAGTTCCTATGAAACCTCTATCACATATGTTTTCCTAGTTTCGTAAGTGTGTTCCTTCCCCAAGAATTGTCGATAAAAGCTGTCCTGGCATGACTTTATTTTCTCGAATATTGCACTTTATTTTCTCGAATATTGCAATGCCTAGCTTATTTTTTTTCAGTATGTGTTACATT